CTCCAATGACTTTGCATTATGTCTCCAGAATAGTTAAGCTTTAGTTTCATTGCTAATGCTTTAATGGTTTCACTCCACCTTGCATGGAATGGTTTGTTCTTCTTGCAGTCCAGGGTCTTCTCAACCATTTTCCCCAGCTCCACAGTTCAAAGGCATCGATTTTTCATTCGGCTTTTCTGACAATCCAGCTTTCACAGCCGTGTGTTACAATTGGGAAAACCATGGCCTTGATCATGCCTACTTTGTTGTCAGTGTTATGTCTTTGCACTTGGAGATTATAGGGCCCACCCATCCATTGACAAAGGACACCAAAGAAATAGTGCATTTAAGAATTTGCCAAGCTGCTTACCGTTCAAGATATGCAGTCAAGGGGGGAGCATTGGGCCCCATTTTTGCCCAGTCTTTGTACCGTTGATATATTACAAATGCAAGTTGGCTGCCATGTAACATGTAGCCTCTAGAGTTATTTTTCTTAAACAGAATGGTCACAAGATAGTGACCACACAGATGGGACAGAAAATAGCATTCTCCCCCATACCCACTCAAGACAAAGTACATGTACATGAAGCAGAAGTACTTGGAAATTATTTATTTATATTTCAAATTTGTTACCACCCATCTCACTGCTTTTCTCCACCACTGGCAGTAAATAAATGGAATCCTAGTAACCATTAACCACTTTCTTCCACTGTGTGACACCCAAACCTGAGCTGGCTTCCTCATTCTGCCTAATGGTCAACTAAGCACTGGTACAAGTTATGAGGTTCTGAAAGAAACATCCTTGTTTTTCTGGGACACAAACGAGCATTCAGCAGACAAATGCTAGGGCTTCCCTCCTCCAATTTTGCTTCTTATAAACTATTAAATGATAGTCCTTTGAGCAAAGAAAAGATAGTACTGTTATTTCCTGCTTGGCATTGTTCCTTGTTCTCATATACGTTCTTGGGAAGTCCCTGCTATTCCAGCTCTGCTGTGCCCTTAAAATAACCATCCTGCAGGTCAAAGAAGAAAAGGACATACCTAAGTCCCACTGACATCAATGGGATTCAAGGAGACCAACCACAGGATAGAATGAAGTAGATAACTTCTAATAGACTTGGGATGTCACAAATGTATGTTTTGTGGGTGAAGTTAGCCTCAGATTTTCAGTGGACCAGGTGATTGTTCCCTTTTTGTGTGAATCCTCAGAGCATTTCTCTGGTGCTTGTTGGCACGCCAAAGGCCCAACTGCCATCAGCAGTAAGCTACATTCCTCAATAAGGAGACTCTACAAGGTAAGCGCACTCAATTCCCATTTGCTTTACAGCCTTCCTTTGGTGAGCATGACTAGCTTGGGTGCAGAGAACCCCGAAGTTTTCTGGTTCATCACAACCCCTTACAGAAGAGCAACTGCATTTTTAAAACATGGCCAGCACAAAACCATAATAATTAGAGATGTTCATTGCCAGCCACAACCCACTTCTAGTGGACCCTCGGGTACTAAATAATTACCCACTTTGTGTGGTTATCCAGTTCACTAATTACCCACAGAAATTGGGATCAGGTGTTAACGGCTTGAAATCTATCCTCCAAAGAGCTGGTAAAGCTGAGTAAAGAAGCGATGTGTTTTTAAGCAAAACTTGGGAAAAAATATGTCAAATATGTATCAGTGTTTTATCTCTCTAGAGCATACTGTGTGCAGACAGAGAAGATGTCTTACAATATTGCAATATCATCGGTCATGATTCTAGATAGACCACACTGAATGGAATACCAAGCGACATGGAAAATTGGAGCTCAGCTCATCTGCAGTATATTTGTTACGCAAAAATGGTCCACTTAATGTAGAAGATGCATATGTTATGAATTGCCTTGTTCTCTGTACCACCCCTCTATTGCTTGTCCGGCTTTCTAGCAGATCTACAGATGGTTCCTTTTGAGAGTTAGCAGCTGTGATTCAGAACAGGTGATACCTGTGCTTGAAACACCATTCTTACCCCAGATAGATGACAATTTGGAGATGTGCCAATGTGAGCCAAGAGAAACCTTGCAATGGCTGGCAAGTTCTGGACTGTAAGAGAACCAAAATCTCTAGGACTTTCAGAGAGAGGACTTGAGAATATTGGCCCTGTCCTCCCTAATTGTGAATGACTGGAGATACTTAGTGCCTAGATCTAAATAGGACAGGATGCAATTTCAGGTAATCCAGATCAGAGGTAGAAGACACGATCACATCCTATTTGAACAGAAAAGGAGAGCTCTGTTTTTAAACTGTTTTAAATTGCCACTTTCAGCCGTCAACTTGGAGAATCCAAATGGAAGTCAAGATAACATTGCCAATACTCTGTGTTCAGTTCATGAGGTAGCCATCCTGCTCTCTGGCCACTTAAATCCTGGTGCCAACCATGTACCTAAGTCTAGTGCATCTACTCTGTTCTGAGTTTTAAAGCTCAGTGTTTTTTCAATGTGCTGCTTGCTGGAACCTGATACTTCTTAGCCGTATGCCTTCCAGCCTCACAGCATCTGCAACTAAATACATAGCAATGGAATCTAGAACTAGGTCTGATGTACAAGACAAAAACTGATTGATGTGGCTTTTGATCCAGAAAGATCACTCCATCTAATCCATGCTGATGATCTCTAGCTGGGCTCTGAAAACTATAATTGATGGTGCAGCTGAGTGTAATATCCTAATGCATCTAGGCTGGGTCTTTACCATTTCACATTAAAGGTGGGGGAAGACAAACCATTTCCTCACTGCACTTACACAGTTAACAGGTCAAGTATGAGGTTGAAGCAAGGTTGCAGCTGACACACAGGTTCTAAATATAAAAGGATGAGTTTTAAAAACTCAATGTCATATTCAAAGGTTTGACCCCATATCTGCAACCTGGCAGTCAGTTTGACCTGAGGATGTAACTCAAGCGCAACTCCTAATTCGGGTCCATATAGTTTTCTTGGCAGTGACACAGAGGTGATCAGCCATTGCCTTCTTCCAGTATACTTTCAACCATGGGGCTTCCTAGTGGTCTCACATGCAAAGACCGAACATGCCCTGCTTAGCTTTTGAAGATCAGCCAAGGTCGATGAGATGCTGCCACCTAGCTGGTCCATCTGAGCTAACTTGGCTCAAAGGAACTGATGATGTCTAGACTGGAAAAGTACACTACTGCATATTTCTGAGGAGACAATTTGTGGTTGTTGATAGCAAAAGGATCTGGATTAATTGACCCAGCATGACCCAATTGATTTCATTAAAATACCCAGAGAGAGACCACCAGCGTGGAATGCATGCTTAGTATTTTGTAATCCCATCATCTTATCTTTTCATAGCTGTAATTGCTTGGGCAGTTTTATATACCCATTGAAGACTAGGAGATTCTAAGCTGTAGCTTGTAAAAGGTTTGAGTAATCACCGATTCTTGTGTCCAAGAGACACTCCCTAATGACTCAAAGTCCTCTGGATAGTCCTCCTGCCCTCCCCACCTTTCCTGCAGAATCTCTGGCTTAACTCAGTCATCCTCACCCCTACACCAGTCCAGGGATGTCTATGTATGGGAAACTAATTACTGTATCCCCCACCAAAACCTGCCTCTCTTTGTAATGATTGTCACATTTGTTGTGTGGCTTGTGCAATGCTCCATGAACAAAGATTCAGCAAAGGAGCACCTTCAGGGTTTCCTACATGCTCGTCCTGTTGTAGGTAGATCTCCAGCAGTCATCAAGGACCACACTTTGGGAGCTGATGGGGTTTTTTAAGTGGGTTTTGCCAGCCATAGCTTCTGGGGAATCCCCAGACCTACCTTGACTTCTCTTCCCATCCCCTTGTTTCTATAGCAATAGCTTATGTTTGCTATGATCACTAACACACCTGGAAAATGGCTGTGGAATAATGCAAATGCTGGATCCTCCTATTGAGGCTTACCAGCTTGGATGTGGTTATCTAATTACTGGGCATGCACAACACCTAACACACCCATGTACCCAGGCTGTACAAGTATCATCTCAGGAAATCATCCTGACATATTTTTTTTTGCTTGATTTCATGATCAGGGAAGAACAAATGGTGTTGGACAGATGGGGGGGGGGATGATCTGCTTGCAAAATTAGCAATTTGATCTGCCTCTGTCTGAATGGAAAAAGCAGTTTCTTTCCCCACCCCTCACCTCCCATTTGACTGCTGAGTTCTTTAAAAACCAAGGCGTATTGTTGATGAATTGCTCAATATTGCAAATCTAGTGGGCACTGGGTGCAAGAAAAGGGGATGGAGAGAAAGACAGATGGCCAAGTTTTGTGTGTGTCTCTCTCCCCCCCCCCAACATTTTTGCTTATTGCCTTTCTCTAGCATGTCTAACAAGATACAGCAATCAAGGATGGTAAGGGAAAGAGAGCTGGGTGGGGTCGGAGGAGCCAAAAGGGAAGGGAAGCAAGAGAAATGTATTCAATAAAAATTGGTCAGTTTCCAACTTTCATCTGGCTACGTGCCACCTTCATTGCCGGACTGCCCTCTCCTACTCATTACTCAGTTTTGGAAAGGGGGCTTAACTCGGAATATTTGATATGTGCCAAAGCAGAGAGGGTGTTGGTCTAGGATATTATTATTGTTGTCGTTATTGTTCGCACAGTCAGGCAGATGTTCAGACTGGATCTGGCATTTTTGCCCACCTATTGAGTCCTTCCCAAGGACCTGGGATAGGCAGATGTGGTTGTTTAATAGTCTTAAAGGTATGGCTGCAGGAAGTAGGGCTACTTTTTGCAATTGACTGGTGGTGATGTTTTATTATTATTATTATTATTATTATTATTATTATTATTATTATTATTATTATTGCTGCTGCTGCTGCTGCTGCTGCTGCTGCTGCATTGGCGATCTTGGCGCTCTCCTGCTTGTTGTCACGAGGGTCGTTCTTTACTCCTGTTAGGATGATAAGCAGAAGAGCGGTCTGGCTTTACCGTCGCCACCGGCTCCGCTGAGTAGATCCTCCCGCCCCTTAGAAATCAGAGTAAGGCTCTCGAAGTATCCGTCGCGGTTCCGCTACTGACAGGAAGATGTAGTTGCGACCTGCTAAGCGAGACAGCCAGAGGGGAGGGAAGGCGCAGCCCAGCCTCGCCGAGAGGAAGTCCGTCGGACGCGGCGGTGGGCGAAAGGTGGTCTGCCATCCCTGGCTTCGGGAGATGTGAGCCGCGGGGCGAGGCGGGGGGAGCTTCGGCGCGGGGAGCGAAGAAGGCCGTGCGGAGGTGTGAATCCGTGTTTCGTTGCTCGGTTGGTTTGTGTTCCCGGAGAAGGGGCGCGCCTGGAACGGAGCGCGCAGACACGCAAGTGGGTGAAAGGGTGTTGGCACCGAAGTGCCCGGGTGGTTGTCTGTACGCAGACACGGAAGGGTTTCGCGCGCGCGCCCCTTTCGCTCCCGCCCGGTTGTTTATGTGCGGGGGCGGGGGGG